TTTTATCCGCATAAACTGCCTCTTAATGTAATTCATTAGCTCGATTACCTCCCCTTACTGTAAAAAAATAAATAAAAATAAAATTTATGTTCCGTCAGGCCGATCAATCTATCAACTTTTAGCACCGTAGAGCAAGTGCTAGTTGATTTATTTTCATTATTTCAGTAAATCAACATTGCACTCGATGTGAAAGCTGTGGTTAGATGTGATAAGTATTGCTTTCGAAAATTTTATTCATAGCTTTTACCAATTTTAGAGCATTTAATTTTAAATGTCGTCTGATAAAATGTACAGAAATGCCTAATTAGCGAAGATTTTTTTGCCTGCAGTTTGACTTCAAAATTTTACTATTTCAAGAATAAATCCAAATAAAGTTGCTATCTTTTGTATTAGAAACATTGAATAGAAAATATATTGAAACCAGAATTCTAATTGTGAATCACCATAAGCAAAATATGTATTTTTTTACTGTATTCGATCAGTAAAAACTGTGTAAAAAAACTGTAAAAGATTACAAAAAAGGCTACTTAATGAATGAGATTTGTTAGATCATTTTTAGATCATAATTAATAAAAACAAAATATAGATAAAAGTGTATATAACACCACATTACAGCTAAGTGACAAATCTTATGTTTGTATTATATATATATATATATATATATATATATATATATATATATATATATATATATATATATATATATATATATAGAGAGAGAGAGAGAGAGAGAGAGAGAGAGAGGGAGGTACGGTGGAGTAATGGATAGCGGCTAGGATTGAGGAATCGAAGAGCCAAGTTCGAAGTCCAGTCGAATCCATTACATTCATTTACGTGCTAATACCCTTGGGAAAGGTATGAATCCTCTTCTCCCTCCAGCTATGGGTAAATAGCAGGACAGATTGGGTTCTATAGCCTTTGATGGCAACTGGTCTAGGAGAAGGACAACTCTGAATTCAAAACCTGCGGAGGGTCGTTTGGGGACCTTGTGATGCGTAGTACACCAGGTCTCTGTATTCGGCCCTTCAAAAAGTGTGGATGGTCCTGGACGAAACCTTCACTACAATCAAATGTCATGTGCTGTTGTCGGGCTGTCGGCTTCCTAGGAACTGATCTGCTTGACCCTCATACGTCGAATTCGATGGGAGAGTCGAGTATATATATATATATATATATATATATATATATATATATATATATATATATTCTCAGTCTTGTCTTGAATATTAAATCGTTACTCTAGTGCCGATCTCCTCAAAATGTATTGAATCGCGAACCCCTTTTATTAAAAGCAATTTATAGCGATGTCCCCAAACACCGTTTGGTAAAAGACATTCAGAGTTTTTCTTGCCTAAGGAACCCCGCACATTTGTGATAAAATCAACCATTCGCCATTTTCGCTACGGAAGATCAGACGTGTAAAAATATCCTATTTAGAAAGCGTTACTCTAGTGCTGATCTCCTCAACATTTATTGAATCGCGGCCCCCTTTTATTAAAAGCAATTTATAACGACGTCCCCAAACAGCGTTTGGTAAAAGACATTCAGAGTTTTTCTTGCATAAGGAACCGCACACAATGTGGTAAAATCAACCATTCACCATTTTCGCTAAGGAAGATCAGACGTGTAAAAATATCCTATTTAGAAAGCTGCTTGTGAATATATAATAAACGTTAAATTAAAAGTTGGCAATGGTTTTTATTTTCCATACTTTCTTTTACAGATATCTCAGACGTTGACTCGGAACCGGGATTTCAAGTCAAACGCAAGCAGAGACGCAGTCGCACGACATTTACTGCTGATCAACTGGAAGAGTTGGAGAAGGCGTTCGAGCGCACCCACTACCCAGATATTTATACACGGGAGGAGCTGGCCCAGAGGACAAAACTGACAGAAGCCCGCGTCCAGGTTTGGTTTAGTAACCGCAGAGCCAGATGGCGCAAACAGGTCGGCAATAATCAACTGGCTACACTTAACGGACTGCTACCGACACAGAGCGTCCCAGGATCGCACTATGTCCTTCCCCCAGATGCTGGTTACCCTTTGTCATCCGCTCAAGGTAATTTACAGATTTCTGTACAGTTTTAACTCATCTCTCTCTCTCTCTCTGTCTCTCATGCACACGCAGAGACACCCTCTCTCTTTCACTCTCTCTCTCTCACACACACACACACACACACACACACACACACACACACACACACACACACATATATATATATATATTTAAGACATTTTTTATGTTTATACGTTCTTTTTATAGATACAAATATTTAAGTAAATGCTCTGTTTATAATAGACAGTATAGGATACAGGTTCGATTCCTGTTGGAGGACGCATATCTTTCACGGACATTCAGGCCGGTAAATGTTGTGAATACTGTTTATTATAAAACAGAGCATTTACTTAAATATTTGTATCTATAAAAAGAATGTATAAACTTAAAAAATGTCTTAAAATAATTGTCGGACTTTGTCCATTTCATAATGTGAGATGTCATTTGTTTACATTTGGGTACACCATCAGCAGATATGAATGTGTGTGAGAGAATCATGGAAGATTGTAGTTTAAAACAGTAAAATTTGACCTTGCTAACCGAACGCTCCTCTATGGCCAAAACGGTTAAGGCACGTCAGGCTATGTATAGGATACAGTTTCGATTCCTGTCGGGGGACGAATATTTAATATATTTTCGGTAAATGTTGTTAATACTGTTTATTATAAACAGAGCATTAAATTGTCCGTTTTATAATATATATATATATATATATATATATATATATATATATATATATATATATATATATATATATATATATATGGGGGGTTCGGAATGTAAATATCTAGTTCGCTTAAATTAATTATAAGTTAAACGACAATGCAAAATCAAGGTTAAATGATCAGATATTTTTTTGTAATGATGTTCACTCTGTACAAGGCCCAAGAGCCACTCGAGGTGCAGGGTTACGGGGTAGGAGGCACAGTTTATGTGGATTGTGTCTATAGTTAGTTTATCAACGCTTTTATCCAACAGTGTATCGTTGGTGTGACAAACTGAACCAACTTTATTTGCAGCAAACCTAGTAATTGATTGACTATAATCATCCCAGTTCATGTTAGTGTAAAACATGAGAGCAAAAAGGAGAAATGAGTTTTTCTTTTGGAGGTTAGCGTCTATCATGCTGATGGAAGGCAAAAAATGGAGAGTTTAACAACATGGAGGATTTATAAATTTAAAAAAACTTAGAAATCTACATATAAAGCTGTACACTATATGCTACTTTCACGGAGTCGAGTCATCCTTATTTCCCTCGTATTCCAAATGTAAGGAGGAAGTTTCACTTAGATAGTTTTTTCCTAATAATAGCTACTTTGTGGAACAAGCTCCGGTGTGAATGTTTCCTTGAACACTACAACCGTAACCTCTTCAAATCAAAGTTCATTTATTATTTGTACTTGTTACCTTCATCATTACCTACCTCCCCCTCTTTCATTCATATCACAGACTTCACTCACCGTAACACTTTCAACAGTAACTATATAGCTTGAGTGAACTTCGAGCTTTGTATTGGGTTAACGTTATTCTGAAATAAAAATTGTATTAATTCCAAAAGGGTAGTACATCTACAGAGGCATTTAAAAACATTTGTGCGGTGTATACGGATGCAGTGAAGGCTTATATATGTCGAAAAGTTTATAAATGGCGATTGTGACATATCCAATTATCCTCGCTCTGGAAGAAAACCAGCCATTTCACCCCAAACAAGCCGATAAAGCCACTAAGACGCCAAGGGTTACTGAGAGTGAAAGAGAATGAGAAGACCTTATTGAGGTGAAAAAAGAATAAAAGCACATTATTCAGGAAGACAGAAGATGGCGATCGACATTGCATTTATATTTTTGAAGACTGTGAGTAGCAGGGAAGCAAGAAAGCGGAAGAGAGTTCCACAGGTGAGAAGTACGGGAAAAAAAGAAACACTTAGAATGGAACACACGGTTATATAGTTGCCAATCTCGTTTAAATTCATACAGTCGAGATGGCAAGGCGGGGGAGCTTATTAGAACAATGAAAATATATGTGTAAAAGACAGGAGCGAGCCATGCCACGATGGTGTGAAATTGACTGAAGTCGAGATGCCAGAACAGGACCGATAACATTACAGATCCCTCTTTGGATTTTGTCGAAAATCTCAAGATAAATAGCAGGGGCACCTTACCAGATATAGCAGCAATATTCAACGCACGGACAAATGGTAGATTTATAAATGTGCAAGATGGATTCTAGCCAGAAATACGCCTGGTGTGACAAACTGAACCAACTTTATTTGCAGAAAACCTAGTAATTGATTGACTATAATCACTCCACTTCATGTTAGTGGAAAACATGAGAGCAAAAAGGAGAAATGAGTTTTTCTTTTGGAGGTTAGCGTCTCTCATGCTGATGGAAGGCAAAAAATGGTTCTCTATGATTAAATTAATATGTTATCTTCAGCTGTCCACGAACATCTCAAACGAATTGGAAAAATTTGCAAATAGGGAATTTGGGTTCTTCATTTACTTTCGCTTGAGAACGGAACACAAAGTTCCACTGTCTTTTAAAAAGCAATACCAAACTTTTATTTTTGCATAGCATTATTACAGGTGATGAAAATACAAAGGATCTGCAGTCCATATAACATTAGGACAACCTTCAAAAGCTTGACGACACTTCGCAGATATCTCCCCCGAGTAAGACCCCCCCATAGATGAAAACATGATTAAAGACTGCATGTACGCTATCCAGTGCAGCTACGGAAAGAAATATAAAGGCGAGACAGGCCTCCCTCTTAAGGTAAGGCTTCAAAAACACCAGAAAGCTGTAACACGAGGGGAAGTGGAAAAATCAGGCATGGCTGACCACATATGGAGAGAGAAGGGAGATTACTGGCCTCTGTGGGATCAGGTTGAGATCATAGACAAAGAACACCACTGGAAAATTCATAAACTTAAGGAATCAGCACATATGCTAGGCCACAAAAACTTTCTGAGCCGACCAAACATAGAAATGAATACAATGTGAGAACCAGTAATAAGGAGTGCCAGAGAAAAGCGATAACAACAACAAAAGTTGCAATATGAGCTCTGGTAACAACGTGAAATGATAACAGCAAAAAAATAAAAAATTGCAATATAAGCACTGGTAAAAATAGTTGTTGAAGACATTAGGTTTATAATACCCAGAAATTCATACACAGATGTCCTCAAGGACACATGGCACTGTGGATAAGGGCGTTGGTTAGATCCAGTTACAGGACCCAAAGAGTGTGAGTTCAATTTCAGAGGAAAATTAACAGACGATAACTGATATCCATTAAACTAGTGGAACTAGAACAGTCTACACCAGTGAGCGAAATAAAAGGTTAAGTTCGACATTCCAACCACCTGAAGAAGGCCGGAGCGTACAATATATATATATATAAATAATGACGGTTTCCCCTAGGGAAAAGCAGTTCGAATCCTGCCGGAGAGCGCATATTTTTCTATAATAAGATTTTCTCGAATATTCAGGCCGTTAGACGAGAATAAACAGATACATTGTTTAATAAATAAACGGCGCGTCTACTCAAATATGAGTTTCCACTAAAAAATATGAATATAAAATAGACTAAGTCCGACAATTATTTTAATACATTTTCTGTTTATACGTTTTTTAAATAGATACAAATAGTTAAGTAAATACTCTGTTTATAATAAACAGTATTAACTACATTTACCGGCCTGAATGTCAGAGAAAGTTCATTGAAAATATGTGTCCCCTGACAGGAATCGAACCTGTATCCTACTCGAAAGCGTGACATCACCTGACGTGCTCTACCATTTAACTACAGAAGAAGCATTTGGTTAGAAACAACAAATTTCTGTTTTTAGACAACAAATTTCCTAAATTTATTATAAATAGCGCATTTACTTAAATATTTGTCTCAATGTAAATAACGTTTTAAACTATATATATATATATATATTTAAATATATATATATATATATATATATATATATATATATATATATATATATATATATATATATGCAAATGCAATGAGAATAAATCAAATACAAATTCAAACATTCATAACGTTAATTTAAAAAAGGCTCAATACAAAAGTAGAGCTATAATTCTTTATTATTGGTTATCACATTCAAACATGCATATTTCCACTATAAAAATGCATTAATGTTTCGATGCAATACACCATCTCATCAGGCGGTGATAAAATTTGATTTTTTGCTCATCTTGAAATAAATAATTAAATATATATATATACAATATTATGGGCAATATATATATATATATATAGATAATATTAGTGGTCAATATATATATGTATATATATGTGTGTGTGAAAAAAGTGTGTGTATATAAATAATTTATATATGTAATATATTATATGCGCGGTACTTATTAGAAAGCGCTCAATATCAGCGATAGAGCTAACATAGTTTGTCTGACGATCGCGAACTCACATCAATCCAATATATATATATATATATATATATATATATATAATATTAGTGGTCAATATATATATATATATATTTATTTATATATATAATATTAGTGGTCAAATATATATATATATATATATATATATATTTATATATATAATATTAGTGGTCAATATATATATATATATATTTATTTATATATATAATATTAGTGGTCAATATATATATATATATATATATATATATATATATATTTATTTATATACATAATATTAGTGGTCATATATATATATATATATATATATATTTATTTATATAGATAATATTAGTGGCCAATATATATATATTTATATAAATTTCCAAGAGGATAGAATCCATGTTGAACTCAATATCGAGGACAGAGTAAGAATATAATATAAAGGCTCAAACACTAATATTCTCTGGTTATAATTTTTTTGTATTTGTAGGTCTGATGAATTGGATCGTGTTTACGATTCCAATGTAATAAATTATAACCATGGAATATTGGTATTTGAGCTTATATATATATATATATATATATATATATATATATATATATACACGTATGTCTATTGATGATGAAGACGATGATGATGATGATGATGAAGATGCAATTGTTATTTTGTGCTTGTGGTGCATTTTTGCCATCAGCTGCACATGGTGTGCGTCATTTGTAATAGTTAAACAGAATTGACACAATATTCACTTATTATGCTGTCATCATCGTCAGCTGATATTCAAGCCACCACCCACTCCCATGCCGCTAACCTAACGCTTCACCCTCTTTCACCTACACAACCACTGCTCATCCACTCACCCACCGCCGTCCGTTGTATCTGCGCCCCCCCAATGCATGCGGTCACACTGGAGCCAGACATGGCAAAGCCCAGGCGGCTGTCCCATTATTCCAAGTCAAGCAACCCTTTGATCTTTCACCGACCTGTCGGCTCGATTCATCATCTATCTGGCTTGCAACTGGCTTTCTTATAGCGAGCATCATCTGCAAAAAAAAAAAAAGAAGAAAAAAAACAGAACAAAAAAAAAAACGTCACTACAGCTACTGCACCCTCCCCCAATACAAAACTGACACTACTCAATCTCTTCCCTCCCTACGACCCCGGTCATCCTCTTGTCTTTTCTTCACCTGCCCTCTCGCATCTATCATCCCCACCTTCATCATCGTATTTTTTCTGTCTTCCTCCCCCCCCTGTCAACCTGCGGTGCTCCCCACCCTTAAAGCTTTAGATTGGCTTTTTTACTCAAAGGCGCCATTTTGTCAGCGTCGCCACCGTCGTCGCTTTTTTCTCGTACCGTTATTTATCCTTGTTGCCGTGAACAGTTGTCTGCTGTTACTTGAATCTGGCTTATCTACAAAAACGCCGAGAGCACAAGCCTTTTGCCGATTCTTATTTCTCTCAGTAACATCGTAATCCTGTAATAATCATCACTATCATACTCGTTATCATCATACACATCATCATCATTAACAAATATTAAAATGAAAGCCACCGTTGATTTTAGCGTTTCAGTTCGTTTCTTTCATTCTTCTTCTTACGAAATGAGCTATTTTGATGTTTTTACTTATTTTTCCTATGTACAAAAATGTTCGAACATATTTCGTCTGGCCAGAGAAAACCGTCGTTAGATCCGACGTACCTTAACCGACTCGGCCACAAAGAAGCTTTACCGATCAAGTAAGGTCTGAAGAGTACCTTTAAGTAACATCCTTCTCGTCATGATATGATAATTTCGAGAAATCTATGACGAGAAGGCACTGTTCAGACCTAGCTTGATCGATCGGTGGGCAAAAATAAATAAATATACTGATTAATAAATAAACGAAACGTTTACTCAAATACGTCTGTCCCCTAAAAATAATGTTTAAAGTGATAAAAAATCTCTCGGATTAATAAATAAAAAATCAATTACAATTTTAGAATGTATATATTTCCCAAACTTCATGAATTCAAGCATCCTACGAGGCTGGCATCCCGCTCTCACCCTTTCACTGTTGAAACTGTTAAATGTAGCCGTCTCTTCTACTCCAATAGCTTCATATCTCGTAACTCTCGCCTGTGGAACTCTCTTCCCTATTCCAGTTTCCCTGAGAGCTATAATCTCCAACTATTCAAATGTAATGTCAATCGACATCTCCAGTTGCCTTGATATATCCACTATCCTTCTCCTCATCCTTTCTTCTATCACTCCCTATCTGATCTTGCTCCAAATCTTCTGTAATCCATTGCGTCCTAGTGGCTTCCCGCCTTGTTTGGGTGAAACGCTTAAAAATATATATATATATATATATATATATATATATATATATATATATATATATATATATGTGTGTGTGTGTGTGTGTGTGTGTGTGTGTGTGTGTTTGTATGTTTGTGCGTGTGTGCTTATTACAATCATGTGTGAGTGGTGTAACGGTTATCCGCACGAAATGATATATAGCAGCGTAGACAGTACTCTTTAGCCTTGGTTGGCAGCCAGTCTTTGGGCACAACTCTGAATTCCAGACCTTGATAAAGAAAATGATCACTATGTCCTGAAGTGATATCTGCCCCATGACGTCAATATAATCTTTTATATATATATATATATATATATATATATATATATATATATATATATATATACTAACATCCCTATCATTATGATCTTTATCGGGAAATGTAAGCTATGATTCGAGATATGATTGTTAGAAATATCATATTGGGTTGTTGATTTGACTTTAGCATTAGTAAGTTTTTCAACGAAAGCTCTGTTTTCATGAAATTGCTATCATAAATCATTCTGCACTATTTACATTATTCAGACTATTGCCCTCATCTTTGTCGCCATATTTATTACAATGTTTCGGCCGTTGTACGCTCGGGCCTTCTTCAGGTGGTTGCAATGTCGAACTGATCCCTATATTTCGCTCACTGGGGTAGACTGTTCTAGTTCCACGTGCCATGTTTAATAGGTATCAGTTATCAGTTATCTCTCGTTAATTCCCCTCTCCAATTTCTCCACTCTATCCGACACCGAACCAATCCGATTCGCGACCCATTCACTCGTTACAATCTACCACATTCACTAAAAGAACCTGTCTGTCATCAATCAATCCTCCATTCACCATAATACCTCATACACTCAAGGGGCCCCAAAAAACGCAACTCATGATATGAAAATTTGAAAATTCCATTTTTTTTTTCCGAAAAGTTTACAAATGATGAGGGTGGGGGGAGATGATCCCCCAAAACACGCTTCACACTTTCCGATATCTTGCTTCCCTTTCTACGTGTATTCTTTAAAAATCTAAATGTAACATCAATCGTAATTTTTCGACTTCCTGAATCCTTTTCTTTTATTGTTTTTCTTCTCAGTAATGTCTTCTCATCATCTTTCACTTCTTGCAATCTCCTGTGTCTTAGTGCCATTATCGCCTTGCTTGGTGGAGGGGGGGAAATGGTTAAGAAAAAATTATTGCCAATTACTATTTATCATGGACATGTTTCATTAACTCTTAGGTTAGAATTAGATCTGCTGTTAGCAACGTATACCATATTTGAAAAATGTGTAGATGCTAGCTATCAATTTGAGATTTGGTAGAATTAACTGCAGAAGTTTAACTATCTGGGCGCTATTATAACAAACGATAGGAAATTCTCTTTACCGAACCCCCTATCCTTGATGACCAGAAACACCTGAGATTCTCCAAAGAGATCCAAAATCTAAAAAAAAAACAAAACAAAACAAAAAAAAAACCAGCAAACATACGAGAGTTTTTCTTGCAACGCAATCTAGCAGCTTCCTTGCCCAGGTCTGAAAAATGGAAATTAGCGACATTTTTGTAATTTCTGACATTAAAACATTTTTGACATGAGTGAAAGTAAGTGATATCATGATGTGTAAAATCCTTTCTGTCATCTCAAGTCTTCTTTTGTTAAAGTAAGTGACATAGAATTATTCACGCTTAAAATAAAAGTTGATTTTCTGGATAAGGAATTTGCAAAAAATATACACTTATTTTCTTATCCAAAAATACAGTATATATATATATATATATATATATATATATATATATATATATATATATATATATATATATATATGTAAGCATTTAAATCATTATCAGTTACAATCTCATCAATAATCAACAATGAGGTTTGGCCTACCATGAGAATATGCTTTGTGTTTTGAACTGCCCACATCCAGATTTCCATCTAAAAATCGCTGAGAGCATTTACATCAAATCTAAGAAATCATCTTTGCGGGGACAAAAAGTATGATTGTTTGGTCTGAATGTAATTACCTTGTAATATAAGTATACCTATATTGATATATTATTGATATATATGTATTCCCTGTTCCCAGTTTATTCTCAACTTACCCCTTTTTAGTCGGGGTGCACAGATATATCATTTTTTTTTATCTCGATCAAGCTCTAATGAAAGGGGAAAGAGAAACTGACCATTTTTCCTACCTCATCAGAGCTTTTTCTATTTTCTCTCCTCTTTCTGTATATATGTGTATATATATATATACACCCAAGTACAGGATTGGTGTATACGGAATAAATTCCAATAACCAACAATTACTATTCCTAAAAAAGTGCTCAATACAGAGTAGAGCAGATGTAATTATTTATTTAAAAATTATAACATAACTATCTTATAAAATCACTAGAAGAATAGCCATTTTGTTTCAACACCTTGTCTTATCAAGTGATGATGTTGAATGTAGAATAAATGGTTTTAAAAGATTCAAATTAATTAACGATCCTTCGCAAGAGGAAAACGCTGTTACATAAGGTAGAATGACCAATCAAAACACCAGTATAAGAGAATTCAAAAAACTTGACAACGAAGTAAGGTTATAATAGCTATTAAGAGCTTTAAAGTTGGAGTTATACTAAAATAGAATTTATATATATATATATATATATATATATATATATATATATATATATATATATATATACTAACATCCCTATCATTATTATTTTTATCGTCAAATGTAAGCTATGATTCGAGATATGGTTGTTAGAAATATCATATTGGATTGTTGATTTGACTTTAGCATTAGTAAGTTTTGCATGAGTCACCTTTCAACGAAAGCTCTGTTTTCATGAAATTGCTATCATAAATCATTCTACACTATTTACATTATTCGGACTATTGTCCTCATCTTGGTCGCCATATTTATTACAACGTTTCAGCCGATGTACGCCCCGGCCTTCTTCAGGTGGTTGGTATGTCGAACTGAACCCTTTATTTCGCTCACTGGGGTAGACTGTTCTAGTTCCACGTGCCATGTCTAATGAATGTCAGTTATCAGTTATCTCCTGTTAATTCCCCCCTGAAAGTTCTCCAATGCCTCAACCGGGTATTGAACTCACATTCTTTGGGTCCTGTCACTGGATCTAACTAACCACTGTGCCATGTGTCCTTGAGGACAAACGGCCGAAACGTTGTAATAAATATGGCGACAAAGATGAGGACAATAGTCCGAATAATGTAAATAGTGTTCATAATACCTCATCTCAGAAATATAGACAGATAAATCATTCTATGTCGCATTGGGTTCATTATATTGATTTGTGCAATATACGTACACCCCCACCATATGTACGAGGGATGGTAAGCCGAAAAGTTCTCAGGACAACCAAGAACTGCTTCCAAAACAAATACTACTGTTTAGTCTTTTAGTCAAATTTGTGGAAGTGTGTTCAGCCGAGAATTCATTCACACACACACACACACACACACACACACACACACATATATATCAAAGTATATATATATATATATATATATATATATATATATATATATATATATATATATTGATTGATTGATGCATGTTTCATTAAATAATATAGACAAGTTTTGTCTATTTATTTTAAGTAAGTTCCTTTCATATTGTCTGATAAGCTTAATAACATTATCATTGAAGGACGAAAGGAAATCACCATATTGATACATGTATAAATCCAATCTAAGCTTTCGGCTTACATAAGCCATGATCAAAGATGACAATTACTTTTCAATATATCAACCAATACACGGAACAATAATGATAGTCTGTTTTTGTTGCATGAATAATTTCAAAGCAACGACTAACTCGTGTATACGAGACGCGGAAGCGAAAATCACGTCACAGCTCGTGACGTTATTTAATGAAACATGCATCAATGAAAAATCGCTACCTAAATAATATATATATATATATATATATATATATATATATATATATATATATATATTAGAAAATATGACAAACTGGAAAGGTATTTTGTGACGCGTTTCATCCGTTAGGATTTCATCCGCCTGCTTTTTGATGATATTGCTACGGATGGTCGAGAACAAAGATGGTGGCGAGATAAAGAAAAGAAAAAGAATACAGATGATTTCGGTTAGATTGAAAAAAAAAATATTTCAAAAAATTTTGAAACTACCTGTGTCTCTCATTTCGTGCGCATGTGTAGATGTGGCAACGTCTGTACTGTTTGTTGATGTAGCAACGTCTGTACTGCTTGTTGATATATAAAATTATACAAAATTATATATCGTTATATATATATATATATATATATATATATATATATATATATATATATATATATATGCGTATTTTATAGCATTGTTTAAAATCATGATAATTTAAAGCAGTCGAAGAACCAGGCTAAGTATTCCAAGCTTTAATTAATGCAAAATAACCGAACAAATTATTTAAGTTGCAATTATTAATTTAATCTAATTCAAAGCGAGAGTCGCCATTGAGAAATTTGAACATATATTTTCCGAAAGTTATCGACCATATTTTTGCTACAAGATCTCGTCTCTATATGATGGCAGTAACGATTCACATCTAACATAGCGTTTTTTGTTTTCTAATAGAATGTAGGCGATTATGACTCTCCACACTTCCTTTTCTTTTTAATCTATGTGAATTTCTTTTTTTACTCTCTTCCAAAAAACTGGGATATATAAATGATGAACAAGTTTCCCATTACTCATTTTGTCGGATTTAATCCATGTTTCCAAACTAGACATGACATATATATATCTATATCAGGGATGGCCAAACAGTGTCTCAAGAACCACGTGCGGCTCTTTGACCTTTAATGTGCGGCTCGAGGAAATATGTTAGCTGAGCTCTTTTCGTCGTAGTTATTATAAAAGTTAAATAAGAAAAAAAGTCAAGGTTTATAATTATTTACTGGGTATGAATTGAGACCTCGTTGGATAAAAACGTAAGTTTAGTGTTAATGTGTATGTAAAAGAAAACGTATGGGTAGATTTTGTTCATGTGTCGCGGCTCTCAAATATCTGAAGTTTATCGCATCTGGATCTTACATTAAGCAAGTTTGGCCATCCCTGATTGGACATTGAAATAATGTGCTGTGAGATTTTAATCTAAATGAACGAATTTGATTAAGTGGAATAAACGTCACGCTTGGAATAAATGTGTGCGTGCGTGTGTGCGCGCGCGTGTGTGTGTGTGTGTGCTGATGAAAGCGAAAACAATTACGGCCCTGGTGGCTAGCAAGATCATCATTAACGATATAAATTTCTTTATCCCTTTAAGTAAGTCTACTGATTGTTAATTTCTCTATAGTGTAGTTAGTTTAATCCCCTTACGTTTTCCACCACCGGCCGTCTCCCATTGCTGTCACAACCACTATCGCATACCCGTGCGCGTTCATCGTTTTCTCCTACCATCACAATACCAACAATGCTACCATCACACACACGATCATATTCCCTCTCTCTTTTCTCTCTCTCTTCTCTCTCTCTCTCTCTTTCTCTCTCTGCACAGTCGTCACACCTTTTCATGCTATAAGCTGCAATAAAACACAAAATAAAACTCTGGGTGTCTCCAAAATAAGATTCCTTTAAAACTAAGAAATATTTTTTTTTTTTTATTAAACGATGACGGACATATACCAACTGGATAAAAGTCAACTCTATTTCACACTGTCAACGTGGAAGCAATTGTATTTGTCTACCTCCCACGCGCGCAAATATGACACAAGGTAGTTTTAACTTGCGGTCTTCCACAAGTTTGAATACAACGAGCGGCAAAAATCCCCCCCATCCCACAGTTTCTTTGCTGCAGGCGTCAGGGCGTACCTCTGATCTTAATGCGATGGGAAGTTCATGCCTGGGAGATGGACCTCCATGAAATAATCTGCTTCAGTCAATGTTTATCCTGTCTCGAATGAAGACGAAACAAGGTTTACCATTCGTCCATGCTTTGAATATTCCTGTCGCAAATGGTCCGGTGATTAAAGACTCTTGATAAAATCCAAAGAAGAATCAGCAATATTATTGGCCCTGACCTGGTATCTCGGTTTCAGTAAATTTCCCCACCGCCGCAATGTAGCTTCCCTCTGCCTTTTCTATAAATACTTTCATGGTATCTGTTCTGATGAACTCTTCGCTATGCCACCTAGACTTTTTGAATTTACGGTGGAGTAATGGATAGCGGACTGAGGAATCGGAGAGCCGAGTTCGAATTCTAGTCGAATCCATTACATTCACTTACGTGCTTGGGAAAGGTATGAGTCCTCATCTTCTTCCCCCAGCTATGGGTAAATAGCAGGACAGATCGGGTTCTATAGCCTTGGGTGGCAACTGGTGTACCGCAGAAAGAAATAGCAACCTACTGCGGGAAAAAAATCTGCATTGAAAGACAGATGATCGCCTAAGCGTTTATCACGCATGGCACATAACTAACGGACTCACTAGATTGGCAAAGAAATTACAAAATCGAGTGCGTGGAAGGGACTAAGCATAAACTACAAGAAGACAGAATGCATTCTCATCAGTAGCCCGAAATGCATTTTGCAGGACGGGAACACTAGAATCAAGCAGTCGCGGAAGTTTAATTATCTAGGAAGCGTTTTGACAGAGAACGGAAAATGCGACTGAGATCCGTAGACATATTGAGATGGCCAAGGACGCATTCCAAAAGCTAGGCAGAGTACTGCGAGACAGGAGGATTTCTTTGGTAACAAAGAATACTGAGCTGTTACGTGATATCTGTCCTTCTTTACGACATCGAATGTTGGACGATTTCCTCAAAGACGACAGAGATGTGGTTCTACAGAAGGATGCTAAGGATATCATGGACCGAGCGTGTGAGCAATGATGAGGTCTTAGAGAGGATGCAGACAAAGAGGGGGCTTATACTTAACACCAGGAAGAGGCAGTTGAAGTTCCTGGGACACATAATGAGGAAGAAGGGCCTGGAGAATCTGATACTCACGGGTCGAATAGAGGGTAAGCAACGCATGACATACTTAGCGGCCTTAAGCAAGTGGATGACAGAACGTGGTGTGGGGGAGATGGCAGAAGGGGGAACTTGTTGATAGCTGCAAAGGATAGAGAGAGGTGGAGGGCCATGATCGCCTACATCCCGAAAGAACGCAACACATAGAAAAAAAAACTAGATTGGCAGCAAGGTTTCATCAATTCACAGTTGAAGTGGCTAGATATAACCCTAAGTTTATTATAACTCTTTATTTTATTGTTTGTGGGATTCTCTTCTGGTTCCAAGCTTTCCCGCCAATTTTAATCTTTAAATATTTAAATGCAATGTCGATCGATATATACTGTCTTTTTGATTATTCTTCTATTGATCTCGCTCATTAATAATGTTTCGCTTTTTCGTATTCTCCCTTATCCCCTCTTTCTTTAATTTGTAGACTTCACATTGTCATAATCTTTTCTTTGGAAAGATAGTAAAGTGATTTCTGGTTGCCGTTTCTGCTGTTTTAAATTCAAAGTTGTTCTCCTAAACTGTTCACTAAGCTTAGGTAAGTTTGACACAAGGCCACAAGTATAGTAAGAATTATTGCCACTACTCAGTGATAGTGGTGAGCAAGAATAACTCAAGAAAGCTAACATGCTGAGATACCTCTTTCTCCTGTGAGAATGATAGAATAATCTACAATGAGATAGAATGACCGAATAATATAGAATAAGAAAGAATTGTAGAATAATCTAGAATAAGATAGAATGATAGAATAATCTAGAATAAGTAAGAATGATAGAATAATCTAGAATAAGAAGGAATGATAGAATAATCTAGAATAAGATAGAACTATAAAATAATCTAGAATAAGATAGAATGATAGAATAATCTAAAATAAGAAAGAATGAGGCGTTCCTTAGAGCATTAGAATTCCGACCAGGCTTCATTATTGCTGGCCACATTCATAACAACATAAAATATGATGACACATTGTTGATAAGAGAAACAGAAAGGAAACTCCTACGGAAGGTAGTAAAGTAAAGTAAGAATGGACTAAACATTAATTTTATGAAGACAGAAAGTATTGTTGTCAGCAAAAAGAACAGTTCAACATGCGAATCACAATTTGGAAATACCAAAATATAAGCAAGTACTACTATTTAAATATCTAGGAAGTGTTTTAACAGGGAACGGAAAGTGTGACACCGAAATCCAAAGACACATTTAAATAGCGAAAGACGTATTCCAAAAGCTAAGCAAAGTATTAAAAAACCGGAAAAATAATTAGAAACAAAGAAAAGAGTACTGAAGTGTTAATATCGGTAACAATGGCATAATATGGCAATCTCTTCACGGATGAAGAGACTTAGGCAACGGAAATGAGATTCTACATAAGGATACTGAGAATACTGAGAACATCTGAACGACGACAAAGTTTTAGGGAACGTGGAAACAAAAAGGACGCTTATATGTAGAATCTGAACGAATCAATTGAAATTTTTCGGGTACCTAATGAGGAAGAACTTGGAAAATTTGACACTTACGGTCCTTCTGTACAGGGAACTTGTCACCAGCAAGAGGACGACCTTCTCTTCACTTCAAGAATGTCTGTAAAAGGGACATAAAAAAGGCGATGGATATGGACATCGAGAGGTGGGAAGACGTCGCCAACGATCGCTGACGCTGGAGACACGATTTACACCGAGGGCTGGAGCGAGGAGAGAAGAAACGGAGGCTTGTCGCCGGGGAGAATCATGCTCGAAGAAAAGAAAACAACACGGCAACATCGGAGAGTTGCAATCGAGACTCTAACACCCGTGTAGGCCCGTAACATAACAGATGCCGCGGCCGCCATCAGCAGCTGAAGCATAACTCTTTGGGCACAGATCCATGGTCTCTCGAGACCGACACGGATGCCGCACAGATTTATGTAAAAATCAATTCTTCGTTTAAACCTCCGTCGAGGGCAAACAGGACACAAGCTTAATTTAATATAGGTTTCTCATGGATGTATTGTGAACGGCAAAATTATAGTCCCACCAACTTTTCCACAAACATTTTTAGCGAACCCTTAACCTTATCTTATGTTATAAGTGCAATAGGGAAGCACTTAATAAAAGAGGGGGGGTTCTCATGAACCAGGGATGCTTTTTACTATGTAGTCGTGATAAATTATTTGACTGGGACTGATTCAGTAATAATAATAATAATAATAATGTTAATGATAACTGTTGTAGTTGGAGCCCTAGGACTGGTTGGAAAAGATTGCAGTAGACTAATTGAAGGGATTCCTGGAAGTCCATGCCTCAAGGAGATACAAAAAATTGTTCTGACAAGTACAGCCCACACCTTACGAAGGGCTTTATCTATGTAATTTAATTTAATTTTTTTTTTTTTTTTTTGTCAGTGGAAAGTGTCATGATGCCATTTCTAACCTTAGGTCCCTGGGCGGGACTCGGAAAGAAATGTGTAAACACCAGAAATCAAAGAAAATAATAATAATAATAATAATAATAAAGTACCCTAAAAACGGACGCACTATGCATCCCTGTTCATGTACAGGTGAAGTGGAAAAGCATCATGTCCAGGTGTATTTTCCGTTTTATAATTTAATGAAACAGACAAGACGACTTGGGAGTCACATCGAAATACTTGGGAACACCCTCAATCAGAAGCCGTCTGTGCATATTAGTTTAGTTTATGTGCTGTTTTTATCAAAACCGGTCACCATATCGCGCACATTTGGGTCCTGTCACTGGATCTAACTAACGCCTTTATCCACTGTGCCATGTGTGAGTTCAATACCCGGTTGAGGCATTGGAGAACTTTCAGGGGGGAATTAACAGGAGATAACTGATAACTGACATTCATTAGACATGGCACGTGGAACTAGAACAGTCTACCCCAGTGAGCGAAATAAAGGGTTCAGTTCGACATTCCAACCACCTGAAGAAGGCCCGAGCGTACAACGGCCGAAACGTTGTAATAAATATGGCAACAAAGATGAGGACAATAGTCCGAATAATGTAAATAAAATTTTACATACACACAACAAAAGCATTTATTAGTCAAGTACATAGTCTTTATTGTTTTTAACAACTGTTTCCCATCGTCTGCAAACTTCTTGATGTCATTTTCATAGGAAGTTTATTTTTTGTTGGCAGTTGGTTATGCAGTAGCTTTCGACTGACTGTTCAGGGTCAATTTTTTATGATTTAAATTGTTCTATAGAGACCGGAACAAATGGAAATCCGAAGGTATCAAGTTAGAAGAATTCGGTAATGGCTGGAGGGTTTCCAATTTCAACTCTTTAAGCTTCTGTCTCTTTAAATGACAAAAGGCAGCTGAGATATCGATTTTCAAACTCTTAGCAATCTTAGTAAGTTTACTCTCCATTATGGCAAGTATAGCGTCTTCACCGACGTCGGAAGACCGTCCGGAGCGTGTTTGATTGTTTAGGTTAAAAACTTCCTGATTAAATATGCCAAACCAGTTTTTGACCATCCGAAGAACTGAGACATTATGCAAGTAAACCTTCTGAATGTTTTTTGTTTCAGTTCCGACGCTTACTCATTTCTGAAATTCATAGAGCATAATATGGCGAAAGTGAAAATTTTTGTCCGCCATATTTAAAGCATCCATTTGTGAACGAAACATTAACAAAGTATGACTCGCAACTGAACGATACAAGGTTTCAATATAGAACGCGCCAAGAATCGGCTTCAAAACAAGCACCAAAGTTGTGGTCATTTTATATTAACAATGAAAATTGGCCACAAACTTTTGCAATGATCTGATATATAAATAAGATTTTAACACTTTTGCATGAAATAACGAATAGACGTAATAAAACCAATGTTAGATTCTTAAATTAATTTATTGCTAGATGGAACCGTAAGTTTTTGTTCTAATAACTTCTCGTGCACTTCTTGCACGTGAAAGTCTCTTCCGCCTTCTTACTTTCCCTGGCAACATTTATATCTAGATTTTCGACAAAATCCAAAGAAGGATCTGTAATGTTATTGGCCCTGTTCTAGCATCTCGACTTCAGTCAATTTCACACCTGTCTTTTCTATATATATTTTCGTTGCAGTTTTTCTACTCTTTGGTACTTTGACTGCATGAATTTAAACATACTACTAGATTGGCAACTAAATAACCGCAAGTTCCATTCTAATTGTTTCTTTTTTTTTTGCACTTCTCGCCTGTGGAAGTCTCTTTCGTTTTCTTGATTCCCTGCTAGC